TCTTTTCAATTTATTTTATTGCGTTTAATTTTTTCATGTTTTTTGCTCAATAGAACTTAAAAGGCAGTCGGAACTTTCAGGGATTCACTCTGATACGACCAGTTTTGTTCCGAATTTGGTAACGAAAGTAGCGGAATAATTGTGCTCGGGGTGGTTTTTTCTTCAGACAAATTTCGACTTTTTAAACTAGCCATTTTTGACGGATTTTTTAAATTATCCTTCAAAAGGAATTGAAGTCCTGAACCTAAAATTGAAAAAATTTTTCACCTTTCATTGTTTTTGTTAAGATATGTAGGTTCAAAGATTGCCAGTCTGGCCAAGTTGGGAATATTAACGCGCGATATATTTCGCGTTATAAACGCTTAAGCTGATATTTGTTTCCGTTTTAGAAATCGTTCCAAATGGGTTGAAGAAAGCTTATTTGCCATTCAAAAGTTAGGCTCTTTTCCAGTTTCCCCCTTTCAAAATACCGAGTTCTATGTTTGTTTTTCGTATTATTACGGCTAAATGCGTGATGTTACGCTGTAAAGTATGAAGAACAAATCTGTTCACAGTTGTCGATTTGTTCACCAAGCCAATTTTCATTGCATTGTGACAACGTTAAATAGACTTTTCAAAATTGAAATTGAAACGGTGGGGACTGGAAAAGAGCCAAAAGGTATTGTTGTCCTGAGCCTAAATTGGAGAAGATTTTTTCAACTGTGATCTTTTTTTTTGTAAAACTATGGAGGTTTAAAGCTTGCCATTTTGGCTAATTTGGGACAATTATCGCGCTATTAACGCGTAAGCGGAGATTCAATCCGTTTTAAAAGTAGTTCCAAATTGTTTGAAGTAAGCTTATTGCCGTAAATCATTTGTTACTAAGAGCGAAATTCATCACTTTGTACTTAAAATAGCGTGTGGAAGTATGATTTTCAAAAAAAAAAATCACATTTTGATTTTTGTTTTCATTTTAATTTTTGCATCATTTTTTTCTGATGTTATTTATTGCTCCATAGGCCTTACAAGGCAGTCGAAACCTTCATATCTGCACCTTGATACGAGCACTCTTGTTCCGACTTTGGTAACGAAAGTAGCGGAATAATTTTGCTCGGGATGGTTTTTTTCTTCAGACAAATTTCGACTTTTTAACTAGCCATTATTGACGGAATTCTTTTTGTCATTCAAAAGGTAGGCTCTTTTCCAGTCTCCCCCTTTCAAAATACCGAGTTTTATGTTTGTTTTACGTTTCATTACGCCTAAATGCGTGATGTTACGCTGTAAAGTATGAAGAACAAATCTGTTCGCAGTTGTCGATTTGTTCACCAAGCCAATTTTCATTGCATTGTGACAACGTTAAATAGACTTTTCAAAATTGAAATTGAAAGGGGGGCGAAACTGGAAAAGAGCCAAAAGGTATTGTTGTCCTGAGCTTAAATTTGAAATGATTTTTCCAACTGTGATCATTTTTCGGGAAAAAAAACTATGGAGGTTTAAAGATTGACATTTTGGCTAATTTGGGACAATCAACGCGCGATACATTTCGCGCTATTAACGCGTAAGCGGAGATTCAATCCGTGTTATAAATCGTTCCAAATTGTTCGAAGGAAACTTGTTTGCCATAGTCGATTTGTTAATAGGAGCGAAATTCATCACTTTGTACTTAATATGGCGTGCGGGGGTATGATTTTCACAAAAAATTGCAAATTTCACTTTTCTTTTCAATTTATTTTATTGCATTTAATTTTTTCATGTTGTTTTTTGCTCAATAGAACTTAAAAGGTAGTCGGAACTTTCAGGGATTTACTCTGATACGAGCAGTTTTGTTCCGAATTTGGTAACGAAAGTAGCGAAATAATTGTGCTCGGGGTGGTTTTTTTCTTCAGACAACTATCGACTTGAACCAGCCATTTTTGATCATTCAAAAAGTTTTGACCTGAGCTCAAACTTGGAAAGATATTTCACCGGCGATTTTTTTCGTAAAGTTATGGGGGGTTTAAGTTTTGCCAATTTGGGACAATTAACGCGCGATATATTTCGCGCTATTAATGCGTAAGCGCAGATTTAATCGGTAATTGAATTCGTTCCAAATTTGTTGAAGGAAGCTTATTTGCCATAATTCATTATTTGCTAGGAGCGAAATTTATCATTTTGCAGGTAATATGGTGTGTGAGGAGTTGATTTTTACAAAAAAAAACTCAAATAAAAAAGTTTCTTGTTTTTTTTACATTGTTTTACACAGCTTCGCCTCTGTGTCAATCAAACCTCCTTTATAAAAAGTAATGGACGTAGTAATTACTCTTATATAGTTCTTGGTCATTTTTTAAAATCTTTGTTCAGGAAAAATCCTTAAAATTGGTTCACGCTCAGCGTTGACTTTTCGCGGTTTGTCTTTCGATTTCTTTTCAAGTTCGCTTTATTTCCTTTGAAGAAGTTAAAATATACTAACGAACAGCACAAGTGTAAAAGGCACAAAAATGTAATGGATTTTGAAAATGGAATTTAATTATCATGTTTTCCAGCGGAATTATAAATTTACTCATTGAGCCACTTTTTACCGTAGCGATAAGCAAGGGTATTACAATCGGTACTAGACTTTTTCCCGTAAACAACCTTGCCCACAGAATAACGCATTGAGTATCTTCACTTTTTAAGTAGGATCTTCACTACTATCACTTAAGAAGTAATTAGTTTCGTAAACCGTTTTCTTAAGCCGTTTTCACGTAATTATCTTTTCAAAAAAAATTCAATCTATTATATATTTAAATGCGGGCTTCACTATCTCGCCATGTTTAAGCTTTTTCAACGTAATTTTTTTGCATGTTTAAGCTTTATCGTATAGTGCAATGTTTAAGAGTTTTTTCGATTTTCCAATTTGATTTTAGTGGTTATTTTACCGAGTTTAAATTAAGCAGCCCAATATCGAATTAGGGGTTGCGAATTTAGCCTCCAATTTTGAATGCCCGAATCATTTTTTTTATTTTAGCTAACGAGATAAGACGATTTTTGAGCATTTTCAAAAATTATTTCAGATAACAAAAAAAATTAAAAAACTCGAAGTTCCCAACCCTGTAGTTGGGCGCTGTCAAAGAACTCTAAGGCGGTACAAATCTTGCCTCCAAATATGACTGTTCAAATCCTTGTAGTTTTCGAGATATGACGGTTTTTGTAATTTTTTCAAAAGTTTTCAGAAAACTTGAATGTTATTATTTTTTTTTAAATCTGACATTCCCAACCCTGAAATTGGGTACTGTCAGAGTACTATCAAGGATCGCGAATCTTGCCTCCAAATATGATTGCTCAAATCCTTGTAGTTTTCGAGATATGATGTTTTTTGTGATTTTTCAAAAATTTTCAGAAAATTTAAATTAATTATTTCTCCAAATTTGAAATTCCCAACCTTGTAGTTGGGTGCTGCCAGAGTACTCTAAGGATTAACAAATCTTGCCTCCAAATATGACTGTTCAAATCCTTGTAGTTTTCGAGATATGACGTTTTTTGTGATTTTTTCAAAAAAATTTCAGAAAACTTACATAATTTTTTTTTCGCAAAATCTGAAATTCCCAACCCTGTTTACTAATATTCTTTAAACATCTGAAATTCCCAACCTTGTAGTTAGGTCGTGTCAAAGTACTCTCAAAGGTTGCGAATGTTGCCTTCAAGTGTGACTGCTCAAATTTTAGTTGTTTTTGAGATATGAAGTTTTTTGTGATTTTTTCATAAATTTTCAGAAAACTTAAATTACTAATATTCTTTGAACATCTGAAATTCCCAACCTTGTAATTAGGTCCTGTCAGAGTACTCTCAAGGATTGTGAATCTTGCCTCCAAATATGACTGCCCAATTCTTTGTAGTTTTCGAGATGTGACGTTTTTTGTGATTTTTTGAGAAAGTTAAAATTTATTTTTTTTCGAAATTTGAAATTCCCAACGCTATAGTCCGGTGTTGTCAGGTTAGTTACTCTAAAGAGTTGCAAATCTTGCCACATGCAAATGATAAACGCGACTGCTCAACTGCTTTTAGTTTCCGAGCTGTGACGTTTTTTGATTTTTTCAAAATTTCCCATAAGAACTTATCTACATAGAAATTCAAAAAATTTGAAACTACCAGCTTGATGAAGATACAACCTTATTGTCAGCGTTCACCCAGGCGTCTCAAACCTTGCCTCTTAATATGAATGCTCAAATCCTTTAAGTTTCTGAGATAAGACGTTTTTTTTAAATTTTTTTTCCGGGAAACTTAGGTTTAAAAAAGTTCACAAAATTTTGGATTCCTTACCCTATAGTAGGGTGCTCTCAGGGACTCTCAGTGGTTACAAATCTGGCCTCCAAATTTCTCCAGAGGCCCATTAAGTTTTTGAGATGACGCTTTTAAAATGGGAATTGAAAAAAATTGAAAGTTTGTTATTGTGTGCAGTCAGAGTACACTAAAAGGTGCAGATGTTGTTTCCAATATATGTGGTTTTTGCTTAGTTGTCGAAAAATTTCGAAGCACCGAAGGTGCGTTAAACGCTAGTTTTTATTCGAATTCGGGGTTTTCGTCTTAGTTTTTGTCGGATCACTTTGATTTTTAAACGCCATTTTTTTTATGTAACCTTGATATTTTTTATTTTTTTAATTACTTTTCGAAGCAGTGTTTTAATCATAACTGAAATTATTTTTTAAAATTTTTTGTCAAGGTATTTTTTCAAGTAATTTTTCCATTTTATTTTTTCAGAGTTTTTATTTGCTTCTGTCTTTTTCGTTCACTCTTTTGTAGCGCAATGTGTGTTCTGCAGCGCAAATGTTGCGAAGCTCCGCTTAGCCTCTGTGTCTCAAATTGAGTTGAGTTTATTAAAAAAGCACCAATCATAAATTGTTCTTGAAATTCTCAGAGCTTCAAGGGCATTTATTTTTTTCTATAAAGTTCGAAACTTGAAGCTATTTGAAAAAACAAGTCGTTGTTTTCGGTGCGTTCACGTCTCTTCAACGCACTTGGTTATGTTTTATAGAGAAATTTAATTGTATGTGGGGTATTTACAGGTGGAAATTGAGGATATTGTGCCTTTACGGAAGATGCGAGTGAGCGTGGAACCCAAGGGTGCCAGGACTAGCTGGTATCTGCAGCAGGTTACTCCTTATTAAAACTTTACATACTTGATAGATGCTCATACAAATGACACTAATGATTGCAATAATTATGGCTTCCAATTGTACGTCTGAACAAAGCATAAATTTTCCTAGTCATGACGTCCAGCGTGAAAGCATAGGCGCAGTCAATTCAATTGGCTTTATTTTTTAAAACAAAATGGAAAATCTTGCTTTCATAGTTTTGAGTTAAGAAAAAACAATATCATGAAGCAAGGATCAACATGATATTGATGCAGATTTTTGGAATAGTTAGAATTAGATTGATTTAGTTTTGCTTCGTCTGCCTTTGAAATCCTACGATCGTAATTACTTGTTCAGATGAGTGTGCGTGACAAGCAGAGTGGAAAGCTGTACGTGTTCAAGTGTGACGACTGGTTCGACCCCAAGAAGAAGCTCCTCAAGAGAGATTTGTCGGCCACCGTCGACGGAGTCACGCTCCTTTCCCGTAAGAAACTGTAATCTTTTTAAATGCCTGTTTTTATGAGACATGAAAGCGCATGATATAATGTGTATTTACAGGTTTAGTGAATTCATGGGGGAAAGGGTATTTTGACCATCAAAAAAATAATTATTTAGCTATCTGAGATCCTTCTAAATATCAAATTTTTCTCATAATTTGAGTTGGACGAGCGAAAAGGGGTCTTTTTGAGAGCAATGGGAAAGTTGCGAGTGGTTGACCTACAAATTCTATTCATGTGTTTATTTTATTTTTGTGTTGTAGTTACTTCGTACGTTGTGCGTGTTAAGACCAGTGACGTTTTAATGGCTGGCACTGATGCTAACGTGTTTGTGGTGTTGTTCGGGGAGAATGGGGACAGTGACCAGGTGCAGTTGCGTGAGAGCAAGACTTACAAGTTTGACAAGTTCGAGAGAGACCACATGGATGAGTTCCACTTGCCGCCCATTCTCTCTCTTGGAAACTTGTCGAAACTCCGAATCTCACATGACAATTCAGGCAAGACTGCAAACCTTCTTCTTTCGATTGGACCACTCTCGGTAGAGCGGGAAGGAACCATAGCCTAGGTTGTTTTTTTTCTGCTAAATCCAGCTCAAGTACCATGAATAAATCTCATAGATAGTGCATCCAATATGCTATCACGATGAATCCCCTACAGTTGTGATTCGGGTTTCAAAATGAAAATCGAGAAAATATCTCAGTAATCAGAAAAAGTAGCACATTTTTTTGGCTCATCACACTAGTTTACGCAGAGAAATGAATAATAGATTAACCTCGATCAGGGCGCCAAATTCCTTCACTACAAACTTTATGGACCCCGTTGAATGTTTCTTAATCCGAGAGTGATTCAAATTCTGTGCTTTTTGAACTGGATAATGATCAAAATAGTGCGGAAAAAATTCTCACGTAATGAACAGTTTTCTGGCAAAACTACTCTTGTTTTTCAATTGAGTCTCACGTCGATTTCGATTGCACTTACATTTGCATATGGAAAAAAGAGACTTTAAACGATTGCTGAACACTAACATGTTTTCTGACCCATATTAAACTGAGCTGATTCCGACTTTTTGTTTTGACGGAATTTTTGGAAGGATATTTCAAAATTGAAAAGGATATTTCCTCTATTCTATTCAAAATTGAAAGGATATTTCTTGTGATATCATTTTAAAAAAATCAATATAAATTGAATTGAAGCAGACCAGTGGATAACTAAGAGGTGAAGTATATCCTTTTCCTTTCGGCACTGCGCGTGGCTGTGGGATTTAACAGACGCTTATGGGCAGTTGATACGTCTAGTCTTGTCTATTTCGTTAAAATTTTGAGAAGTGACTGTAAAATGTTACATTAATGTTAATAAGGTTCTATAGTAATGAAAAAGTTACGTAATATATTTTTGCTCTTTGCAGACTCACTAAATGGTTTGATATACACCAATGTGAATTTTTCTAGCTCATTTAACTTGTTCAGCAGACCTATCAATTCATGTTTTTACCAAATCCGTTCAGTCGATTTCAGTTAGATTTCAGTCGACTGGGAATTATCTCATGGCAGAGAGTCCGGATGATAAAAGATGCAACCAATCAACATCGTTAAAACCCACAGTTAATCGATTTTCAAGCTGTTTTCAAATTTTAAAAACTGAATTTGTTGTTTGGGTTCTTCTGTCATGAGAAAATACGACTGCTAAAGTCAGGGGCGGTTTTAGAAGGGAGTGTTTGAGCCCCCCTCAGGGCTTCCACCCCCTGCCGACCCAAAGTGTCCCCCTTCATAAATATTTCAAAAAATCCATTTTGGGTGACATACCCTGAATTTTTTTCTAAAGACGCCTTCGACGCCTATAAATATTAATTTTGAGGGGCGCGTGCGTCGAAAAGTGCTTTTTTTTTGGTCAAATTTTCCTGAAAACACTTTGTTTTTTGTGTTTTGTCAAAATTTCCTAGTGGCTCAGAAAATGTGCTTAAAAAAGGGGTCTTTATAGTGATTTTGGAGTGCTCAGAAAATCAATTGAGTCGGCTCAAAAAAGTTTTGTTTACGCCGACTCCAATTTTTTTAACAAATTTTTCACATTTTTTTTAAAAATCCCCCGCCTCTCGAAAATCCTGGATCCGCCCCTGGTTAAAGTTTATACTTCATCCGATTCTGTGTGTAGCTTCCTTTATGTGTTAGCTTAGACTTATTATAATAGGCAGAATAGGCGATTCTGTGTGTAGCTTCCTTTATGTGTTAGCTTAGACTTATTATAATAGGCAGAATATAGTAGGGTTACCAGGGAGATCGAAAATCTGTATCCTTTTTCTAAAAAGGCGATATCAGATTGTGAAAAAAGCAAGTATTACGCCTGCCAAAATGTATTTACGAGAAATTGATTCAAAGTGTTAGTTGTTCTCATGACACGCTGAATTCAAATTGCAAGAAGGATAGCCGGTTACTGTGCAAATAGCACAGAATGTTCCGACCATAGTCTTTACGCTTGCGAACAGCTAGTCTTTTAATACGAACCTTATTTTTTCTAACCTGACTCGCAAACAAAAGTGTTCACTTGTAGGCCTTTTTGCTATAATCACGATCTGTAACAGTGGAAATTTCAAAGCATCTGTTTTCTGCTTTCTTTGTGGCTAGTGTTTGCCATGGACTTAGCGTCCGTGGCTGAGTGGTTAGTGCGTGAGGGTCCTAATGTTTAGGTCGGAATAGGTCTTAGGTTTGAATCCGAGATGTCGCCAAACTTTTAATAATTCGAGGCTTATTTTTATTTTTTTCTTATTGCTTTTTTTTAGAACACTAGAGCTGCTTTTTGTGTTCTGGCTAGTGTTTGCGTAGTGAAGCTTCACCTCTGTAATGAAAAACTACCTAAAAAGTTTTTTTCTGCATGGTGTGATCAATGGATCTGAAGTAAAACTATCATTTAGGTATATTCGACAGTCGAGTAATATAGGCAAATTGGACCATTTTTTCCAAATTTTCCCAAAATGGCTCTTAACTTATTTGCTTTGCTTAAAAACCAAGTTTTCAGGGCTTAAATAAGCGTTAATAAGCTGTTGTAAGCCTGTTCGCTCGCTTTATTTGCTCGAAATTGAAATAAAAATGAATGATTTTAAACCAGTTTTTCTCAATACCGAGAAAATTTTGGACTCACTCAACTCATTCCGATGATCATTTGTGGTACCTGATTTTGCGTGTAAACAAAAAAAAGAAGAAAAAACGAAGTTACACCCGAATACAAAGTGCCTCCTCTTTTTTCAAATGGTCGGAACAATAATTATATCCCTGAGTTTTTCCTAGGCAATCCACCTCTTGCTTGGTTGAAATATCTTATAACTTCAATTAGTTTAGTTAGAGTTGTACATGCAGATGTTTACTGGTTCATCGTTGCTTAGAAACTATAATTTTGAGAAACATTTATTGATACATCGAAGCTTCTTTCATTAGCCTTATACAAATTAGGTTTCAAGGCTAGTCCGATCTAATAGAACTTGAATGAATTCAGGCACCATTTCATTTTGAGATAACTATGCATGATTCGTTTACTGAGTATATTATTTTGCCCCTATCGAAACTGGCTGAAAAAAATCACATGACATTCAATGTTTAATCATAATGAATTGCACACGTATTTACGAATCCCTTATATGACAATCGGAATAAATAGGTTATTCGACAGTTTAAATAGTAGAGAAATGGGTTCCGCTGTTGTCTTTCAAATTTGCGCGGACTAGCCGAAACTTATCCCGATATAGTTAAACAAAGTTAGTGTATGTAAAAAATACTGTAATATTAATATAGGGTGAGGTCATCTTAGTGTGCGTGTGTTTTTGCAGGGCTGAATCCCTCTTGGCACCTGGACAGCGTGGAAGTAGAGGAGACTGGAGGTAGTGGAAAGAAGTGGAGATTCCCGTGCAACCAGTGGCTGTCCAACTCCAAGGGTGACAAGACCACATCCAGGGACCTCCTCTGTGACACAATTGGAAGAGAACATCTCACCAGTCCCAAAACTGGTTAAAAACTTGCATCTTATCCTCGGTTTTTCTAGAAACATGGTTTCTTAAATGCTATTAACAACTGATTTGGTTCTGGTCACTCCCCTTGAGGTGGAAAGGGACTATGGATTAGCTTGTATTTTTTAAGCCCGAGTACGACTTTTGATCTCTCTTAATCTCCTTTGTTAAACGACAGGAAAAATTCAACTATCGTATGGCAAAAATGTAAAGGTCACGAAAAACGTGATTGACTTCAAGTTTTGAAAGTGGATTTTAATTTTCACATTTCGCTGCGGAATAAGTTTTGTTATTATTGATTGATTTTGTTTTTACACTTGCGAAGCAAGTGTATTAGTGCAAACCTTAATTTTCAACCTGTGTCGCAAATAAAAGTGCTACTTTTGGTGGCCTCTGGAATCGGTAGCCTGCGTAAGCAGTATAATATCATATGTGCTTTGACATTTGATTAGTAAAAAGTTGAGACAGATGATGCTTTTTTAATTCATTAAATAAACCAGAAAAAGTTAGTGTTTCAAATTCAATGTATCTCGAAGCTTTTTTAAAATGCATAATTTATTTTTAATGTGGCTTTATGCTTTCCAATTTATTACATGCAAAACTGTGTCCTTTTGTATTTGGTGTTTTTGCTGTATCGAATCGATAATTTACTTGAATGTGTAGCTGCGTTATTGATGGCTAGTTTTTGGGGATTTTAAGCATCCGTGGCTGGGTGGTTAGTGCGTGAGATTCAAGTTTGCTAAGTCGCAGATTCGATTCCGACACGTAGCCGAGTTTTTGCTAATTCGAGGCTTATTTCTTTTTTCTTATTTCACTTGATAGAGCTGTTTTTTTGGTCGTGTTCTCGCAAATGTTTACAAACGGCAGCTTCGTCTCTGTCTCAATTTGGTGTAATTAAGAAAAATTGTCAATTTTAAATGTTTATTGAAATTCGAAGATCTTTTTAAGGCCATTTAAGGTATTTTTTTCTGCTTCTTTTTGTTCATTGACTCTGTTCCAATTTTCTGTTGGCTAGGTTACGAAAGATTAATTCACTGCGCAGCGGCTGACATGGCGTAGTGGTGAAGCCCCTGCTTCAGGACCTTTGCCTATATATTTATTGTTCTGACTTTCGATACGAAAGTAACGGAATATTTGTGCTCGTGGTTGGTTTTTTTTTTCTTCAGACAAATTTCGACTTTTTAATTAGCCATTTTTGACGGAATTTTTTTATATCATTCGAAAGCTATTGTTGTCTTGAGCTCAAATTTGAAAAGATATTTCACCTGTGATCATTTTTTCTTTTTTCGTAAAGTTATGGGGGTTTGAAACAATTAACGCGCGATATATTTCGCGCTATTAACGCGTAAGCGGAGATTTAAGCCGTCTTAAAATCGTTCCAAATTGGTTGAAAGAAGCTTATTTGCTATAATTGATTTTTTACAAGGAGCTAAATTTATCTTTTTGTACTTTGTATGGCGTGTGGGGGGATGATTTTCATAAAAAATTTCAAATTTTACTTATCTTTTCAATTTATTTTTTTTGCATTTAATTTTTTCATGTTATTTTTTGCTCAATAGAACTTAAAAGGCAGTCGGAACTTTCAGGGATTCACTCTGATACGAGCAGTTTTGTTCTGAATTTGGTAACGAAAGTAGCGGAATAATTGTGCTCGTGATGGTTTTTTTCTTCAGACAAATTTCGACTTTTAAACTAGCCATTTTTGACGGAATTCTTTTTGTCATTCAAAAGGTAGGCTCTTTTCCAGTTTACCCCTTTCAAAATACCGAGGTTTATGTTTGTTTTACGTGTTATTACGGCTAAATGCGTGATGTTACGCTGTAAAATATGAAGATAACGCGTAAGCGGAGATTCAATCCGTTGTTAAAGTCGTTCCAAATTGGTTGAAGGTAGCTTATTTGGCATAGTCGATTTGTTAGTAGGAGCGAAATCTATCCTCTAGTACTTTATATTGCGTGTGGGGGGATGATTTAAAAAAAAAATTCAAATTTTTGAAAAAAAAAATTTCTTTTTGTTTTTTTACTTTTAATTTTTTTTCTCATTTTATCTCATTACATTTAATTTTTGATGTTATTTCTTCTCCAAAAAACCTTAAAAGGCAGTCGGACTTTTCAGGGCTTCGCCCTGATACGAGCAGTCTTTTTCAGGTTTAACTTTTAACTAATTGAACTTCGTCCCAATTCTTGTTGTGCTATCTGTGGAATTTAAAAGTACCTATTGATTCAGTTTCTCAAATGGGGTTAATTTTAATAAATTAGTGTCAATCAGAAAAGTCTCTTGAATTTAGTCTCTTGTAATCAAAGAGCTTAACGTCAATTTTTCTCTTCAAAGTTTGAAAGTTGAAAGATGTTGAAAAGTAAATTCAGTGAAACTTTTCCAACTGTCTTGGCTATTTTTTTGCGGACTTGTTAATTTTTGTCTCATTTTTTTCGGCTAGCTTGTGCATGCGGCTAGTTATGCGAATTTCCGCTTCACCTCTATTTGAATTTTCCATTCTGAAATATCTAAACAGACATCGAGGCCTGTCAACTGGTTTATATTATTTTAACTAGCTCATATGGTTCATATTTGAGTCAGAGTTCAAATTTTCACAAGTATTTGGCTTTTCTTTTAGATTTGCATGTAATTTCCCCTTAATGTTCAGAGATACAAAATTTTGGGCAGAAGCTGGTATCGGATATTGCTTTGGACTACCATTTTTATATTGTGTCACTATAAGTTCTTCGGATGCATGATAGGCTCGTGCTGGGCCGATGTTGATGAGATGTCAGAACATAATATAATTAATATATTTTATTGCAAAACCAACCAACTGGTCTTAATGTTCGTCGTATAGTTTTGTGTCAAACTATTTGATCAAATATCAACAAACAGTTTGATTACTAATATAGCATAATATCAAATTCAAGAGAGTTCAGCTGTAGGCCCTTAGTTCAAAGTCAAGACACAGCTGGTGACAAAAATGACGCTGTCATTTTTTGTTCAGTGTGTGAGATGGGAAAATGTACAGCGTCGTCTGCTTTACTGGAGAGTTCATCAATAAAATTTACTTTAATTATTCTTTTTTATGTTGAAAATTGTAAAAGTTCATTTATTGCAGGTTAAGTCTGTGGTTTATTTTGTTTTCTGAAAGTTAGCAGGCCTGCAGTTATCTGATGATTTTTGAAATCGATGATTATAATATTTTTAGATCCAGTATAGTGTACTATACTTCGCAAAAAGCATCAGATAACAAAGTAGCTTTTTTGTGAAGTTCAGTGTATTTGCTTGATTTGTTCTACTTGATATAGTATTTTTTATTGTATAATATAATATTTTCGCTTGAAAAATTAAATGTATCATTAATTAATTACTGTAAAACTTCAGTTGTGCTCATGTTTGCTTGCAACTAGTAAAATTCACGCAGCAATTAGTAAAATGCATATTTCAATTAGTATGGAAAAATGATTGTTTCTAAATAGATTACGAGGTTGTCGTGCGAACTACGGACAAGAGGAATGCCTCGACCCGATGCCACGCCTTCCTCAAACTGATTGGAGACAGAGGAGAGTCCGAGAAGCCCCTATTCATGATCAACTCGCACGCCCAACGGATATTTAGAGGGTAATTGAGAATCTGCAATAAAATGTCATTTTAATCGAGGAGGAGGTGAATTTAACCTTAGTAACTTAATTCCTGTTTGATAAAAACTGGTATTATTACACTTGCAACAGGTATTATAACTTTCTAGTACGAGCTTTCTTTTTTTTCCAACCTAAGTCGCAAATCTTGTTGCGACTAAGTCGCAATTATTGTTGCGACTTAAAGCAACAATATTTGCTGCGTCGAATTTACTGCATCGAATAATTTGGCAATAAGATATTTTGATATTTTGTTGCACCTTTGATATTTACTTGCTTTGGTGTTCGTAATTATAAGTTTACACATTGATGCATTTTTAATGCATCAGTTGAACCGAAGAAAGCTATTTGTTTCAAACTACATAACAATATTGAAATCTCAATATACTTCGCAATTTTTTAATAGCATAATTTATACATAATGTGGCTTTATGATTTGCGATTTTTTATATTTGCAAATTTGTACCGTTTTGTGTTTAATGCTACTTTTGCTGCATCGAATTGGCAATTTTTTAGCATATGTAGGTGCATTATTGGTGGCTAGTTTTTGGGGATTTTAAGCATCCGTGGCTGAATGATTAGTACGTGAGACTCAAGTTTGCTAGGTCGCAGATTTTTGCTAATTCGAGTTTTTGCTAAACCTGAGTTTTTGCAAATTCGAGGCTTATTTCTACTTTTTCTTATGTCACTTGATAGAGCCGCTTTTTGCTGATGTTCTCGCAAGTGTTTGCGAAGCGCAGCTTCGCTTCTGTGTGAAAAAAATATTTGGGTCCGGTTTTTTTTTAATTATTTTGAGACGCTTTGAAGAAAAAAATTTCAATTTTTTCAAAAGTTTAATTTTTCTCAAAAACTACTCTACTGATTTTCAAAAAAGTAGTACCAATGGAAAGTTCGCCTACTCCGCTGTGTGCCTGCGTAATTTTTAAGGCGATCTCTACCTTACCCCACTTTTTACGGCCTTCGAAAAGTGTTGGGGGGATTTTGGGTTAAGTGTGCGTGTCTGAGTGGTTAGTGCGTGAGACTCAAAATCTCCATTTTGCAGCAGGCCACAGATTGATTCCTAGACTTAGCCGAATTTTAACTATTTCAAATCTTATTTCTATTTTTCACTTCCGCTATTCGACACTAGCAAGAACACGACAAAAATCAGCTCTTTTTCTAGATGTCGAACTCATGAATCAGGAGGTTGCACATTCGAATCTCGTGGTCCGATAATTTTTGCTCTTTCAATGCGTTTTCTTTTTTAACTCTGTATCACCATAATGAAAAAAAGAGAAAAATAAGGTTGCTTCAATTCTTATGCATACGATTAGCAAGCATTCTCAAATCGGAAGTTTAATATTTCCTGTAAAGAACTTGTCTTGCCAAAATCAGTGAATTTCTAGATTTCGCCGTTTATTCAGTGACTGGTGTTTCGCGTTTGGCAGCGGTAACGTCTATGCTTGAATCGACCGTGTTGCTGGGTTCAAGTCCAGCTAGGATCTGTTCTTTTTTGCCAAACAAATTTTCGAAATATAGCGTTTATGCTTACTGTTTCACCTTAGCGGTAGTTGGTAGCATTGGCTTTGACATTCGATAAGTTATACGTTAACACCGGTGCTGCCTTTTGATTCATCAAATGAACCAAAAAAAGGTGTTGATTTGTTTCAAACAACATAACAATAACAAAAACTCGATTTCAGAAATTTTCCTAGTCAATATATCGAACTTTTTTTGAAATGCATTGTTTATTTTTAATTTGCCTTCATGCTTTCCATTTTATTGCAGGGAAAGTGAACGTGGACGCCTTAAGTTTAGTTGCTGCTAAATTTGTGGCCAGGGTAAATTGTCAGGGGCCCGTGGCGCAGATGTGAGGACTGGGTTCTCAATAAAAATCTCCTGGTCGTAGGATCGAATCCCGCACAGCATAATATTTAATTTTCAAGCCTTGTTTTAACCTTCTCTTCATTTCACTTTATAGAGCTGCTTTTTTGTCGTTTTTCGTTAGTGTTTGCGAAGCGCAGCTTCTACTCAATGTTAAAATTTCTTTTTCAGTCTAAAATTTGATTTTCAAAATCTTTGCGGAACGTTTTTGTTTTTACTTTTCAATAACATTTTTTAAATATTGATTTGGCAATTTGTTGTCGATCATAAAAATTGCTGATTGAATGTGAAGTAAAAAAGTCCTCTGTGAAGCCGAATTTGTCAAATGAGCTTTTTGATAGGCTGAGCTTTTTGATTGTTGTTGATAGGCTGTCTTTAATCCTGAAAAATTGAAAAATTTGGAAAATATTGCACCTTTACACATTGTCATTGTCCTTCAATTTACTTGCATGTAAATATGTTGGCATATATGCTTAGCAGATGAAGTAAAGCTTTGTTTTGCCTCTGTGTTAAATATGTGTTTTTCATTTTGTCTAGTGGAGATGCAGATCAGTTTTCGTTCTCAACCGATAATGTGGGCAAGCTGCAGTCTATTGTGTTGGGACACATTGAGAAGGCCGAGGGTCATCAGACACAGTCACCCTCGAATGCGCAACCGGCAGATGGGGAGAATGGGAGGAAGTGGCACTGCTATGACGTCACAATTACCAATAAGGCTACAAGAGACAAGTGGACTTTCGTGGTCAACGACTGGATATCTCTGGGCAGGACAGCCAGCACGGCTAATGCAGTTACAGTGCCAGTGACGAAATTCGAGCAGGGAAAGATGTCCACTCTGAAGAGTTAGTGTAATAAGTTGAGATCCAAATACATTGTATCCAATTGCTATAAAAACAAGTAAGGACTATTGAGTATGCACATATCGAGTATGCACAAAAAACTATAAGATCGATTGTTTGTGATGCTCTAATTGAGACTGTGCCTCTTTTTCCTCAACACCTCACATAAGCATCAATGTTATGGTGTAACGAGGGGTTTTACAAAGTATGAAGGCCAAATTTGTTTGCCTGTCATGGCCTAATTATTCTGCATGACAATTTTTGTAACAATCGGACAACGTGAGCAGTAAGTTAGTGAAATTTCACAGGTGGGGGGGGGGGGGGGGGGGGAGCCGTGACTTCGACTGCTGATTGGTGTAAACCGAATAAAAATATATCCTGTCCGATGGATGTGAAACTGTGATTTTGCGTTTTCAGCACTCTCCAATGTGAAGTACAAGGTGGACGTGTTCACTGGTAACGAGAAGGGAGCAGGCACTGATGCCAATGTCTTTATTACCATATATGGCCAACATGGGGACTCTGGAAAGCATAAGCTGAGCAAAAGTGACACTCATGTAAACAAGTTCGAAAAGGGAAAGTTGGACACGTTCCACATACAGGTCAGTGTGTGCGTGTTAGACAGTCAGTTAAATTTGTGAACTATCTTAAGGACCACATAAAGAAGTAAAACGTTTAAAAATAGCTATTTTAAATATGTGAGCACATATTGAAATAAGTTGGAAAAAATGGAGCAATATTTTTTCAGTCGAGAGCTCGGAAAGTTTTTTGGTGAGAAAAGGCTTTTGATAAAAAAAACGTCCTTCTCTGGAAAAAATCCTAGACGTTGACCTGAACACAACTTATCAAAACTGGTCAGCTCCTATTCTCGCTTTAGAGATGAATATCTTGTTGGGAAACTAGAAAACATATGTACAGTAAATACGAAATGCAATGAGTGTTTTTTACAGGTGCTGGACCTCGGCAGTCTCGAGAGACTAGTGATAGAGCATGACAACTCTGGTTTTGGAGCCGGTTGGATGCTGGATAGAGTTGAGATTACAAATGAGAGCACTAAGGAGACTACCGTGTTCCCCTGTGGCAAATGGCTGGATAAGGACAAGGGCGACGGACAGATCAGCAGGGAACTGGTACCTCGCGACAACAAGGCTGCTCCAATCTAAACTCACGAGTGCATCTCACGACAAAAGCCACATTTCAACATATACTTCTATGTTTTCTTCTATAGTTTCTGTAGCATAAAACTCTGCGATTATTTTGGTAGACTGATGTATAAAATGGCGTGTAAAATTGTAAATAAGTTGTTTCATAGTGTACAAATATATTTTGCGCAATTTAATTCTCAATGGATATTTTATAAATGGAGAACGTGAGAATTGCACAATCCAATAGCGAATCTCGAAACTTAAAAAGATATTGCGAAGCTTAGTTTTTTCTAGTTGGAAAGTTAGTCGCTTTAGTTCAAAATTTATTTATACTAGAGTCAGCTTAGTGTAGTATTAAAAACCTTCTTTTTTTACTAATTCGCAAACATTGGTGGGTGCCATTTTTGGGGCACCTTTACAGCTTTGTGATACCATGTGCTTTGGCATTTGAATAGTAAAAAGTCAACACAGTTAAAGCATTTTTCATTCAACAAATGAACCGAAAAGCTAATTGTTTCAAACAACATTAAAATCATAAAAACTTTTCTGAATAATTATAATTTTTTGAATATTTTTTGAATTGCATTATTCATACATAATGTGGCTTTATGCTTTGCATTTTGTTTTATGCAAAGTTATTGTGGATGAGTTCAGTAAGTTGTATTTTAAATTATTTTTTGTACAAGTGTATTTGGTACCGCTTTTGCTGAATGGCATCGGCAAATTTTTAGCATTTGTTACTGCTTTCTTCGAGACTTCTTTCTATTTTTTTATTACACTTTCTTGAGCTGCTTTTTTCATGTTCTCGCTATTTTTTGCGAAGCCAAGCTTCGCCTGTGTCGAAATTATTACTTGAAATTTGTTACTATTTGTATTTGGTGCCAATTTTGCTGAATTGCATTGGCAATTTATTAGCTTATGTAGCCGCTTTATTCGAGACTAGTGTTTGTCGATGGTTAAACGTGCGTGACTGAGTGGTTAGATCGATTCCTAGACCTAGGCGAATTTTTACTAATTCGAGGCTTATTTCTATTTTTCTTATCGCACTTTCTAGAGCTGCTTTTTGTCGATGGTGTTTGCGAAGCGAAGCTTCGCCTCTGTATCGAAAGTTTAATTTCATTACGTCGTTCGTTTTTTATAAAAGTTTCAACGCCTGGAACTCAAATGAAACCTGACATCAATTCTTGTAATGATTTAAGGGTTCAAAAAAATGACAGTTTATTAGACTAAATAATGTGCGTTATTACACAACTGCGCTGAGGCGGGATTTTTTTAAGCAAAATGAAACAATTCAAGGTCCTACGCGTTAACTAAATATTCCAAAGTGAATTGAGGCTAGCTTATTGGTCCTGTTCTAGCTATTTAGGTTACGTAAATTAATGAATACTCTTATATAGGTCTTGGTTTTTTTTCATAAGGCTAATGAACGTGGAGAAGACATTTTTATAGGTTTTGGTGATTTTTACACTTGCAATCAGCCTTATGTATTATTACGAACTTTCTTTTTTTTCTACAAAACTCATGATACCTACCTCAAAACAAATAAAAGTATTCATTAAAAGTTCACTTGACTTCGACTTCGATTGGTGTAATCAGAATAAAAAAATATACTGTCCGATGGATGTGAAATTGTGATTTTGCGTTTTCAGCACTCTCCAATGTGAAGTACAAGGTGGACGTGTTCACTGGTAACGAGAAGGGAGCAGGCACTGATGCCAATGTCTTTATAACCATATATGGCCAACATGGGGACTCTGGAAAGCATAAGCTGAGCAAAAGTGACACTCATATGGACAAGTTCGAAAAGGGAAAGTTGGATACATTCCACATACAGGTCAGTGTGTGCGTGTTAGACAGTCAGTTAAATTTGTGAACTATCTTAAGGACCACATAAAGAAGTAAAACGTTTAAAAATAGCTATTTTAAATATGTGAGCACATATTGAAATAAGTTGGAAAAAATGGAGCAATATTTTTTCAGTCGAGAGCTCGGAAAGTTTTTTGGTGAGAAAAGGCTTTTGATAAAAAAAACGTCCTTCTCTGGAAAAAATCCTAGACGTTGACCTGAACACAACTTATCAAAACTGGTCAGCTCCTATTCTCGCTTTAGAGATGAATATCTTGTTGGGAAACTAGAAAACATATGTACAGTAAATACGAAATGCAATGAGTGTTTTTTACAGGTGCTGGACCTCGGCAGTCTCGAGAGACTAGTGATAGAGCATGACAACTCTGGTTTTGGAGCCGGTTGGATGCTGGATAGAGTTGAGATTACAAATGAGAGCACTAAGGAGACTACCGTGTTCCCCTGTGGCAAATGGCTGGATAAGGACAAGGGCGACGGACAGATCAGCAGGGAACTGGTACCTCGCGACAACAAGGCTGCTCCAATCTAAACTCACGAGTGCATCTCACGACAAAAGCCACATTTCAACATATACTTCTATGTTTTCTTCTATAGTTTCTGTAGCATAAAACTCTGCGATTATTTTGGTAGACTGATGTATAAAATAGCGTGTAAAATTGTAAATAAGTTGTTTCATAGTGTACAAATATATTTTGCGCAATTTAATTCTCAATGGATATTTTATAAATGGAGAACGTGAGAATTGCACAATCCAATAGCGAATCTCGAAACTTAAAAAGATATTGCGAAGCTTAGTTTTTTCTAGTTGGAAAGTTAGTCGCTTTAGTTCAAAATTTATTTATACTAGAGTCAGCTTAGTGTAGTATTAAAAACCTTCTTTTTTTACTAATTCGCAAACATTGGTGGGTGCCCTTTTTGGGGCACCTTTACAGCTTTGTGATTCCATGTGCTTTGGTATTTGAATAGTAAAAAGTCAACACAGTTAAAGCAATTTTCATTCAACAAATGAACCGAAAAGCTAATTGTTTCAAACAACATTAAAGTCATAAAAACTTTTCTGAATAAGTATAATTTTTTGAATATTTTTTGAATTGCATTATTCATACATAATGTGGCTTTATGCTTTGCAATTTGTTTTATGCAAAGTTATTGTGGATGAGTTCAGTAAGTTGTATTTTAAATAATTTTTTGTACAAGTGTATTTGGTACCGCTTTTGCTGAATGGCATCGGCAAATTTTTAGCATTTGTTACTGCTTTCTTCGAGACTTCTTTCTATTTTTTTATTACACTTTCTTGAGCTGCTTTTTTCATGTTCTCGCTATTTTTTGCGAAGCCAAGCTTCGCCTGTGTCGAAATTATTACTTGAAATTTGTTACTATTTGTATTTGGTGCCAATTTTGCTGAATTGCATTGGCAATTTATTAGCTTATGTAGCCGCTTTATTCGAGACTAGTGTTTGTCGATGGTTAAACGTGCGTGACTGTGTGGTTAGATCGATTCCTAGGCTTAGGCGAATTTTTACTAATTCGAGGCTTCTTTCTACTTTTCTTATCGCACTTTCCTGAGCAGCTTTTTGTCTATGGTGTTTGCGAAGCGAAGCTTCGCCTCTCTATCGAAAGTTTAATTTTATTACGTCGTTCATTTTTTATAAAAGTTTCAACGCCTGGAACTCAAATGGAACCTGACATCAATTCTTGTAATGATTTAACGGTTCAAAAAAATAACAGTTATTAGACTAAATAATGTGCGTTATTACACAATTGCGCTGAGGCGCGATTTCTTTTGAGCAAAATGAAACTTTTGAAGATCCTACGCGTAAAGTAATTATTCCAAAGTGAATTGAGGCTAGCTGATTGGTCCTTTTCTAGCTATTTAGGTTACGTAAATTAATGAATACTCTTATATAGGTCTTGGTTTTTTTTTCATAAGGCTAATGAACGTGGAGAAGACATTTTTATAGGTTTTAGTGATTTTTACACTTGCAATCAGCCTTATGTATTATTACGAACTTTCTTTTTTTTCTACAAAACTCATAATACCTACCTCAAAACAAATAAAAGTATTCATTAAAAGTTCAGTTATTCGGAAATATCACTGTAGCAGTGGAAATTGCATAGCATCCCTTTATTTGTCGCTAGTGTTTGGTGCTTATTAAGCTTTCATGTCAGAGTTGTTAGAGTGTGAGGCTCTTTATCTCTACGTCGCAGGTTCTAATTCGAGGCTTATTTCTTATTTTCAATATTGCACTTTATAGAGCTGCTTTTTGTTGTGTTCTCGCAAGAGTTTGCGAAGGGAAGCCTCGCTTATGTTTAAAATTTGGCAAAAGACATAAAATGTTCAGCTGGCCTGGTAGCAAAACGTTTTTCAATTCGATTTTATGGGGACCTAATCGTTTGGTCATGAACCTCAAAAAAAACTAATGAAGGTAAGATTGATTTCATCATTGACATGCATAATTGGACTGTCTGTTCTTTCTGCTCGAAATGATGTGAATGGTTAGGAACGCACAGTTAGTTCATTATTTTTCAATAACTTGTGATAGAGCCTGCGTATAACAGCGAATAATTTCTGAAACATTGTTATTGATGGCCTAAAAACGACTGTAATCTCTCTTCCTCTTCGTGAAGTTGACTGCAAATGGTTTTTAGTCGACACCGACGCTCCCCAATGTGATGAACAATGTTCCCTCTTTGACGTTTGGGACGAAATAAGCAAAAAGAGTACTGCTAACAGATATCTAGGTCAAAATTAAATATCGGAGAGAAAATGAAACCGAGTATGAAACTATACCCCTTGCCTCTACCGAACAAACGGAAAAATGGACAAAATTTAACGCAAGTTCAGGGTTTTAGTCCCTAAAAATTTTGTTTTCAAAAATGAATATGGACAACAATTACTTCGAGTTTAATCTTAATCAAGTTTTTTTTGCATTGACCAAGAGCGAATGATCAAAGAGCTACCTTCTAAGAACATATCAGATGTTGATTTGAAGTAAATTATTGCGGGTCTAAATGCAAGTTTTTACCGTCTGCTTCCTCGGAGCAAGTGCTTCCTCGGAGTGAGCTGTTTCTCGAATAAGTGGAGTGAAAAGATTAAAAACAAGCTTTTAGTCTTTAAAATGACCGTTTAAATGTCCATCATTCAGCGAAACAAGAGCGTAAAATATAAACAATTTTTCTATTACAAAGTCAAGGTTCAAAATAGTTCAATTCTATGAAATTATCAGCATTTGCTTGCAATGACTTGCCACAATATTCAAGTTCTGAAAAAGCCAGTTTCTCTATGCGTGAGTTTTTCCGAAGTTAGAAAATAATTTTCTCTCTTATTGTTGTGATAAACTTATTAAATAGTTTCAGAGAGTGATGAAACACTAGTTGCCATTCTTTGGGCACTGACTACTAACTTCAGCATATTATCCTTGACACCAACAGCACCATTATTCCTGGCATTTTCCTGGCTTCACACAATGTCAACACCAATGCTTCTGATGCTGCCCGACGACTTCACGAAACTCAATCCCGAACAAAAAGATAAGTACTACGTTCAAATATATAACCTTGTCAATGTACTAGCAACATCCAGTAATCCTCCAAACAGTAATCAAAACGCAAAAGGACTCAGAGCACCTATTGATTTTGCTGCCAAAGTAATCCCCAATGATACTCAAAACTTGATTATTGGTTCGAGTTTTTTAGCGGAGTTTGACACGAAGGAGCTGCCCAAAGACGTGGCCATTCATTCTTACCGCGGGTCATTTTGCAGCGAGAAACAATCAGTTGTGAAAAAGTACGACGATACTGAGCTGAAATCAGTAACCTTCCAGGACGGCACCAATTCCTTCACAAGGGAACTACACAAACCTGTAGATGATATATTTGAAACGTTTTGCGCCACCATTAGTGAAATTGAGACAAAGTTTTCACCTGCAATAATCAATATATGCCAAGTCCCGCCTGTGAAATCGGGACCCGATTCTGTAAGTGGTAAACGTATAACTGAATTCAACAGCCTTATTGCTCATAAATTTAAGAAAAAAAGTATCAAATTGTTCCTATATACGATAAAATTGTCAGCACAAACGGCTATCAGTCAATCTTCTTTGATGAAGTACATTTGATGCGCTCTATTAGTACTTTAAAAAATGCAATCATGGAAAAGGTGCTACCATTATCCAGATTATCACCTCGAGTTGTTTCTCCGAATACTTCCAACTCTAGTGGCCCAGCGCACCCTCAGAGGAATCGTGTGAAACCTGGTTCAAGCCAAGTCTCGTGGGGCCCCGAGCACCCAAAGAGTCTTGCGAGCCATGGTTTCAGCAACAATCAAGCCTACAATTATATGAATGCCAATCGTAGTAATTATGACTTACGCCATAATAGATACTATCCATACTAATGTTGTTTTAGTAGTCTATTACCCAATAATCTGGATCTATCAAATTTATTTTTTAGCCAATGGCTTTTAAAGACTCTCCTTATTTTCTCTCTTTTACCTAGCATTCCCATTAATTACAATGTACCCAACAGCACCGCACTACTCAAAACTAGAAACATGACTTCTAACCGCCACTTTAGATTCACAGCTGGCATCTATTGCGCAGTTGTGGTGCTAACTTTTCAGATTGGAATGTTGTAAATCCTGCTTCTTCAATGTGGGGACATCGAAGTCAATCCAGGTCCCGCACTTTCATATGAAATCCTGGCAAACAAAGCAAAGGAACACCACAACTTCCTCAACTATATAACTCTAAATTGTAGAAGCATAAAGAACAAACACATGGAAATACGTTTCTTGTCAGAAATAGTTGACTCAAACACAACTATCGGTCTTACGGAAACCTGGCTTGACGAAACATGCGATCATGAAACTTATTCATTCTGCAAAACAACCCATGAAATTTTAAGATGCGACCGTAACAAAAAATGCACTGGTCAACACGCAGGTGCTGGTACTCTTCTTATTATTCCGAAAAAATTTAACCCTAAGATTCGAGAAGATTTAAATTATCTACGTCCCCCCATTTTGAAGGACTTTGGGTGGAATATAGCCCAATCATCTCAAAAAAATCAAAAAGGCAGATGATTGCTATTGCCTACAATCCACACAAACAATTCAAGGAAAATTTTATAGAAGATACACTAAAGGGTATCGATTACGCTACCTCTGAAGCGCGAGATGTTACGATTTTGGGTGATTTCAATATTAACTACTTGAATAAACATGAAGCTAAAATTCTCAGCGATTCTATTAAACCATACATTTTGCCAATAACCAATAAGTAAATACCGACATTTATCTCTAAAAACAGCCAATCCATTTTAGATAACTTTATAGCAACCAAATCTCTTTGTAAAGAAACTATTGTAGCAGAACCACCTATAAACACGGACCATTTAATAACAATGTGTATTAGCAAACTAAAACGATTCGAAAAAGCCATTCCAATTCAAACTTTTCGTTTCAACAAAACCAATTATTGTAAAACTAGGTTCTGCGAGGAACTTAAACAGAGTCCATGGTTTCTCGTCTACCAAGAAAATGATGTCTCTAAAATGTTAATAAAATTTGAAGTTATTTTCTCGCATGCCCTAAACGCTCACGCATCACCAGAGCAGAAGTATATCCGAAATAAACCGCAGCTACAGCTGTCTGGTAAAGTACTTAACTCAGTCAATAGACCTTTGAAACAGGAAAACGAAAATCTTCTAAAGGCATATCAATTATCAAGAACAGATGCCAATTTTGAAAACTATAAACGAATAAGAAATAATTACAACAATCATTTAAAACATTTATACAAGAAAGAGAAAACAGCCCAATTCAAAATGCTTGACCGTCCAAAAAAAACAATGGAATTTCATAAACTCTATCAGGAGCACCATGAAACAGTCAACCCAAATAGGTGATCTACGGAATTCGTTTGGCGATCTTATAATTGAAAATAAGAAGAAAGCAAATTTTCTAAACTACAGGTTCTAAACATTAGAAGAATACAAAAACGCATATCATCCCATAGATGTACCAACTGAGTACAGTGTACACAGTAAAACAAATAGGCACTTTCAATTCAGGTTCATAACTCACAAAGAAATGAAAGATGCAATTTTATTACTTCCCTTAAACAAGCCATTAGGACCCAGCAAAATCCCTGCTTGGGCTCTAAAAGACAGCATTAATACTGTAAACCCAATTCTTACGATGATTATCAATGAATGCATCTCGAAATCCTTATTTCCATATACCTTAGAAAAAGCACACGTTTTTCCCATATTCAAAAAAGGCGACTCGACAGATCCAGTAAATTATCGTCCAATTTCTATTACACACACTCTATCGAAGTTGTTTGACAAAATTTTTTCATCCCAAATTCACGAATTCTTAGCAAATTCCAATATTCTAAATCCAAAACAATTTGGCTTTCGCCCAGGTTATTCAACTAATGATGCTCTTTTATACACAGCAGAAAAAATCAGATTTCATCTCGATAAAAATAACATAGCAGCGGCTGCATTTCTTGATTTATCTGAAGCATTTGATTCACTCTCTCATTCAGTCCTTGAAAGGAAACTAAGTCACATTGGCTTTGAACAGTCAGCAACAACTCTTACTAAGTCATTTCTAGAAAACAGACATCAATTGACAATAGTAAACGGCAAACACTCAGATTGGTTTAAATAAGAGCAAGGTGTTCCCCAAGGTACTGTACTAGGACCACTGCTGTTCAACTTGTATGTAAATGACTTGCCACAAACAATAGACAAATCATGCACGTTAGTACAATACGCCGACGACACGACTCTGCTTAGTTTTCATTCAGATCCCGAAACAGCATCAAAGAGCATTGAAAACAATTTCAATAAAATTCTCTTGTATTTTCCTTTAAATCGATTAATGATTAATGTAGACAGAACCCAGTTCATTATATTTTCTGCACCGTCGAAAAAGAAACTAAATGAAAATCTTTCATTGAAAGTTGGAAACTATCAAGTTAATTTAACAGAGACAGTTAAATTTCTCGGCGTCAATATTGATATAAGCTTAACATTCGACAAAGAAATCAACAAAATTTTACAAAAATTGGCTACAGCAATCCAAACGATAAAATGCATCCGAGACGAAGTCCCTCTGCGTACTAGAATTCTCCTGTTAAATACTCTTGTACTGAGCCATTTGCACTATCCATGCATGCTCTTAAACGGATGTAAGCAAGATAATATTGAGAAACTCGAAAAACAAATAAAATGGGGAATCAGGATAATAATGAAAATAAGCAAACGAGATTCCGTTACACTTCTAAGGAAACAGCACAAAATTCCTACTGCTCGGAATATAATCGAGTACCGATCAGCACACTACCTTCACAGGTTATGCCGAAACGATGCCCCAGCTTTCACGCATATAAGATTCCCAAATTCTGAATTCCGCTATAAACGTCGAACTGGAACATTACTGTTCCCTTTAACATGTAAAACTGATTTCCTTCGTAAGTCTTTCTTATTTACATCAATCAGAAACCTTAACACAATAATCCGAACCTTGTTTAATCGAAAACTACCGTACACATTGACAAAAACACTGATAAAAAATTTCATAATAAGAAAAGATGACACCCTGTTACCCAATAAGGAGAGTCTTTCCGCATCCAAGGACATTTATTTTGTTAAATCAATTATTTGGTTCGTCCTCATAATAATTTATGTTTTTTCTTGTTATGTTATATAACCATTGCGTAATATTGTACACTAGATTCTTATACAATCAGTTCTGCAACTGCATAAGTATATTGAAACAATAAAGTGTCCCCTCTCTCTCTCTCTTTTTAAAGCAAAAAAGTGAAAACAAATTACTGAGGTATCATTTTTAAGCTCATAAGTGCAAGTGTCAATGAATCTAATGCAGTTAGTTATACATTTTACTGCAAAAATGTGAAACGCACAAAAAAAAGTGACCCATTTTTAGTTTTGAGTTTGGCTTTTAATTTTCAGCTTTAATCATAAAATATTCTTGAAAATTGAAGAACTTTTAGAGGTATACATTTCTCTGAAGTCTTCTCAAAATCTAAACTCGTACACTTCAAAAGTCTTACTGATGTTAAGCTAATTGGCTTTTCAGATAATAAGTAAGTTTGTGTTCGGACCGTTTGACTGAATGGGGACGAGCAAAAAGCTCGGGCGTTTGGTTCTGTTAACTCAATTTTTCACGCCTAAAGAAGTTTCGTATTTTGTTGGATGCATTGACGGGAGTAAATTGGACATAAGTAAACAAAACATTGTTCTCAATTTTGATTAAAAATTGTATAACAAGACTGCTCGTAACAGGGCGAAGCCCTGAATGATCCGACTGCCTTTTA